TTTTTTTTTTTTTTTTTTTTTTTTTTTTTTTTTTTGGTTTGAAAACAATGTTGTGGTTTTGGTTTTGTTCTTAAGAACCTGTAATAAAATAGCAAACAATGAAATATGGAATAAACCTCCCTGGGACTTAGGATGTTAGGAAGATAAAAATGGACATCTGTGGGTGTTCTCATATCCTCTTGGCCACCTACAAGAAAAAGTAATTACATCCATAGATAGTACTGTATTATATAATTCCCTTTTTCCACAAACTGTGGATGTGCCGTAATCAGAGTAAAGGCATCCCACCGGATTCCTTTGAGAAAACCGCCAACCCAGTCCTCTGATTGACGAAAGTGCGGCTGATCATAAAGAGGAAAGCTGTTAGAAAATAGCAGGCGTAATTCATCGCCATTGGTTCATAAATACCAAATCTCTCTGCCCCCGAGTCGTTGCAGACTGCCACATAGGCCTTCCGAATATGTCTGCGGCATTGTTTGGTAGGGCATCAGGTGCTTCTGTGTGCCTCCTAACAGGGCTTTGCCGATAGGTCAGCCGCATTCTCACTGCAATACCCACAGGGCTCCTATTGGCTCTGTTCTGCTTGGCATTGCTAACTAACATCTTTCTGGTAACTCACTGGTGCTCCCTTTGTTACTCGGGAGGGAACAGATTACAAAGAAGCTTTACCTGGATGACATGCTCCATCAAACACCTTGGCAGACAAGCTGTGGCTGGACATTCTGGGGCTTCTTGACTCCACAGCACCCTGGATTGGGTGCACTCAGCCTTGACAGTGTGTGCAGAGGGGAAGTGAGCTCCATTCACAGCCCAGGCTGTCATGGTGTTCCTTGGCATGGAAACTAGAAATGCCTTGTGTTTGATCTTGCACTGGTCCAGCAAACCCAAAAGGCTGTTGAAGAAGCACGGGCTTCAGAGATAATTTCTGTTTCCTGAGAACAAAAGGGGACTAACTTGGAAAGGTTTTGGTTTGAGGGGAGAAGTTGTATTTTGTTGTTGTTTCGGCTCAATGTTAGCTCCACCCTCACCTGTTACATATTTCAGTTGAATTGCATGTTGGCAGTCTCACGCTCTCATTGAATATTGTAATAGTCTAATTGGATGGAGACCAGTGCAGACTCAGAGTTTACACTGGGTTAGGCCTCACAGCTGCAAAATCAGTACACAATGATTTTTTTTCCCAATAATTGATTTTCAATGTATTAGAATCCAGAGATTCCTAGCAGGAGCTTGCAAAGAACTTGCTAAAAATGATAAAAAACAAACAAAACAAAACAGAACTGTGCCTGCATTTATACCAACTCATAACTTTCATTCTTGTTTGCAATTAAGCACATGGCCGTGTGGCTTCGGAATGGCTCTTCTTGTGGTCCAGCTGGTACATTTTACCAGCATCTGGTTGGTAAAGTCCTCCATTCAGATACACATGGATGAGTAATAGTTTAAAACCTGGGAAGATGGTGTGCTGGTTTTCAGCAAGATGGCAGTCTCTCATTCTCCTTGCCCTGTGTGTGATGAATGATGACTTCAGTCTATAGCTGAAGAGCGAGAGGAGGAGCTTCCTTGAACGCTTTTGGGGTTGGCATCTTCTATCTAGAGAATTGAGAAGAAACGGGAGTCATAAAGAACTGGCTGAAGTCCTGGTAGGAGGGACAAGAAATTGGTTCAAGGTAGTCAGATATATTTAAGCAAGCCAATGGGGGTTTGCTTTTGCTTGTTTGCTAAGAAGTCTCGTAAGTGCTATTCAGTTTCTGGTGAAATTTGTTTTCCAATTCCTTCTGTTGGACTCTTCCTGAAAGCCCATTTGTTCAAAGCATCCAAAGAGCCCTAGCACAAAGCAGTTGCCCTCATGAGGCCAGCTGCCTTCATGCCTCAGGACAACTGTGGGGTCGGACACCAACAGGCTTCTCTTTCGCTCTTTTTGAAGCGAGCTGTCCCAGCGTTTGTGGGTAAGGAGCCAAGCAGTTTGGGCAATAATATCTTTGAAAACACGGTTAGTAAATGAGACATGTTTTCCTGAGAGAACAGACTGAATTCAGTGGTTCCCAAGGGCATTCCTCAGCACACCGCCATGCAGAGAAGAACTATTAGGTGCTGGCGTGTCTTTAGTACTTGATGTGGTTCAAGCTCCATTCTAGGCATTGTGTGTGTTATCTCAGCTAACCTTAAATCCATGTGGCGTGGCCAGAGCCCTCAACTTACAGATGAGGAGGAGATTAGAAGTATGAACGGAAGTCCCACCTCACTCTGGACCCTACCATAGTGAAAAGGCACCTCTCTTCCCCTGGGCTGTCCATAGTAGGGTGAATGCAGCAATGTGTGCGTAGGGCCAGGTGAACGTTCGATTCGGAATAAGGGGAAAATGGAGGCCTCAGTCAGTTCTTGCAATTTTCTTCTGAGCCACATATCTAGGAAATACTGAATTTCAAAGAGCATAGATGGACACCTTCAAATTTCTGCACATGAAATTTATTTATTATGTCTAACAAGTATCAAAACAAACTAAAAATATGTTTGCCCTCAGCTTTCTAAGATGTATGCACGGACATATCTCATTTTCATCTTCCTTGGTCCTGTCAAATTTGAAAATGAGTTACCCATAGTATGCAGAGTCTCAGACCTCCGGGTTTTCTTGTTATGTGCATTTCCTTCTGTGTCACGTGTTTTTATACCCTGCTTCCTCCATTGTGTTCTCTTCCCTCCATATGTGACCATGTGTTCTCGAAAAGCATCAAAGCAATCGTTAGTCCATCAGTTTGAAAGAAATAGAAGAGAAAGACAAGAATATATTTACTTATAGAGATTAAGCACATGTTATTCTGGACAAAATTACTTAAAATGTCTCTATTGATTAGGTTCTTTGGGTGGAGTCACACATTTAAGTTTTCCTGTAAAAATGCAGTCTGCACTGTCACCCACATCTCTGCAAAAGCTGGTGAAGAATGGCTACGAACAAGACTGCTTATCACTTATGTTCTGTCTTCTGTTGAATTTACCAGGACTCTGGAAGTTTGGATGATATTAGATCAATAAGTTAATATTAAAAAGGACCCTTTAACTTTGAGATCATTAACCCATAGGGACTAAAATCTCTGAGACAGAGCCACCCTGATGAAGCAGCTTTGAAACTTTGGGAGTTCTTGTAGTTCCTCCAGGTGGGGTGGACACTTCCGTGAGCTGGCAGGCTGGACATCGAGTCGACTGCGCTGCGGCCATCAAGTACTGTGTGTTCTCTTTGTCCCGGCCTCAGCCCATTAGTTCTCCCTAGGTTGGCACTCCTCAACAGCAGAAGTCAGGTGACAGTTACACTTTAATAAAGACTGCTCTGATGTTGTTAAATGTCCCATGTCCTTCGGAGGAGTCTGTCACAGGGGAGCCCACGCTCTCCAAACGTTGACCTTTCTGGTCCTCCTTGGGAATGAACTGGCCATGACAAAGCCTCTGTTTTCATCCTGATCTTTAACCTCACAGAAGCTAATAATTGACAAAGAGAAGCTATCTGGCTCTGTTTGAGTTATCACTTGCTTGTGGACCTTTGCCCATCACTCAGTGTCTAAACATCTCCTGGTGGAAATGTATCCATTAGAGATGGAGAGTTTTCTTTTGCTGCTGTGCTGTCACTTATCCAGCTTCAGGGGTCAATGTCAGGGACCGTTTTCACATCAGCATGGACTGAAGAATCACACCAAAGAAAGACTCAATATGGGGCTGTCCTGCCCTTTTCTCCCATGTTTCTCGGGACACTTTAAAGCAAACTATTGAATCATCTAAGCCATCGAGGAAGACATGGCTTTAGTATTTAATGTGCTAAGCCATCTTCTTAGGAGGTAGCTCAGTTGGTTATGCGCTTGCTGCACAAGCACGAGGATCAGAGTTTGATGCTCAGCCTCCAAGTGAAAAGTACACCAGCAGTCCTGGTGCCGAGGATGCAGAGGCAGAAGGATCTCTGCCTCTCAGGGGTCATCTCGTGTCGCTGAGCCTATGAGGTTAGGGTCAGTGAGAGACCCTTTCTCTGACACAGAAAAGACGGCACTAGAGGAAGGCACCTGACATCAACATTTGGTTCCACAGCTACCCATATATTGTACACACACTGATTCTTAGGGAGAATCCAAATTTTGATCACTGAAGTCTCAGGTTGTTTTCTTCACTGTGTTCCTTGCTAGTGATATAAACTAGAGCCTTCCTCCTGTGACCATTAAATGAAGCTCTTGAGTACATACCTCAGAAATCTGTCGTGGGAGTCAAGTGAGGAAGAACCAAGGTAAAGATTTGGAGTGTTGCCTAGAGGTTTTCCAAATGAAGGCTAACTCTCCTTAGCTCCTTTCCTGTAAAGTGAGGGGGATGGCTACACAGATGCCCACCTAGGCGTGAGAGTATTTTGTAATAGGGTGGCTGTGGAAGCTTCTACTGTCCCCCTTCCCTTAGTAAGGCACATTATTGTTAGAAACACACGTTTCTTACCATCCAGCTCATTAGGAGTAACTTACTAGGTTTGGCGTAAGGGGAGTCAAGAAATTTTTCCATGGGATGGTGACTGAACTCTTTCAGCCTCTCAGTTGGGGCCTGTTTATATTGACAAATTAGCAGAAATCATACATTGTGTAGAACACGGAGGTGAGAAACCAGAAGCAGTGTAGCTCGATTTGAAGAGGCTGTCCCACAGAGGAGGCATTCCGCATTAGGCAAGGCTGAGCTGCCCTTAGTTATTGGCCTGAGCAAGAAGTGAGGTTTTAGTTTGGAGTAGTGATTTTTTTTCCCTTTCATGTACTTTGAAACCATACTAGAGGCTCAGGGTGGGGTGAGCCTTTAGTACTAGCCTCTTTTCTGTCCTCCTTTTAGAGTTTAGTGGCATACTTGAGTGGTTCCTGTGTTCCCTAAAGAAGATTATGCCTGTATTTTTATTTTAACATTTATTTTCTCAGGTGCTTCCTCTTCTTTCCCACTAATCTCAGGGTAATCTGTCTTCAGAAATTAGCAGACAACGGGGAAGCTGCCAACATCCTAGTTTCTTGGTAACTAAACTTGCAGATTTACCAGCATCAGTTTTACATCCTCTTTTCCCAACAAAGGCATTTGATGTCCTTATGTTTAATTATATCAAACTCATGAGGGAATTCAGACTAGGCACTCAGGAATATGTCTCTTTGGTATATCTACTACTATTATTGTTATTAGCATTATTATTACTCACAGGATGCTGTTAGATGTGTATGTCCATAAAATAGCTCTTGTAAAAAAAAAATATATTCTTAGCTGTTTCCACACTAACCCAAGAGGGCATTAATGACTGCTTCAGAAAGAGGCACAGACTCCATTGCTGCTCCTTGTGCAGCTTCAAAGCTGCTCAGGCAGGATCAGGAGCTGCTGTGGCGGATGATGAAACCAGGGCGCACTCTGAGATTAAGCACCTTTCCTGCGCCTGAGCACCATGACTGGGAGCGTTTTTATCCTTAGGCTACATGGATTTGATTGTATGCATGATGCTTAGAAGTGGCACACTGTGGGGTCCTGAGAATTAGTTTTGTCTAACAGTGTTTATGATATTCTGAAACAAATACTGCATCAAACATCTACTTCCTAATTTTCCTGAATTTTTTTATTTATACAATTACCATTATTGATGGAATTTTTTCCCACCAAATTGTGTAACTTGAATGCATTTTGTCACCGTTAATTGATTGGATATATACTTTTGAGTTAGTGTTTTGAGTTAGTGAGTTGAGTTACTTTACAAGCACTGTTAGTAGGGGAAGTGAGGAGGGTAGCTGGTGGGCTACTCAGTGCCAAATTGGGTTGTGTTTTGTATGGCCCTTTACATTCCAGGAAGGCACTAAAGCAAGAAACAGCGCTCATCCTGTATTTGAGTTGAGCTGTTTATGTCAATTCTCCCCTTAGGTCCACAAAAGGTGGCTCCGCTTCCTCCCTTTCTGAACCCAGGCCAGCAGGGGCAGGTCGAACCTTCCTGTTCCGGGTCCTGCGGGCAGCCCTTCCCCTTCAGCTTCTCCTGCTGCTCCTGATCGGACTCACCTGCTTTGTGCCCATGTCAGAGGAGGACTACAGCTGTGCCCTCTCCAACAACTTCGCCCGCTCCTTCCATCCCATGCTCAGATACACCAACGGGCCTCCTCCACTCTGAAGCAGGCAGATGTCCTTCGCACTAGTGCTGGAAGCATGATGAGGGGCACCTGGCCCAAAGCCAGCCCAGGCTAGCAGAGAAGACTTTGATCCTGGCAGGCTTCATGTATGGCAGCTTCAGCTCTCCTCCACACCCCGCGTGTAAAAAAAAAAAAAAAAGAAAAGAAATGAAGCCTTTGGACATGGATGATAAACAACAGGAGGGAAACAGGATTGGTACAGTGTCGTTTGACACTGAGCCTTAACACTAAATAAATTAAGATGAGGACATACAGAGTTCCCTGGATCCATGATGTCCGGGCCTTTGGCATAGCCAATGGCTCTGGAGCGCCATCTGGGCAGCTTTCCTATGGTGCTGCTCCATCACCCCAAAAGCCCCTCCCCGGGGGGCACGTATCAGTATAGTACATCTGACCGACGCCCACCACCACCCCTGCTGGAGGCATTAGAACCTCCTCACATACCGTTTTCTCAGAGCACATATGGCAGCTTCCTTTCTACCTTCTTTTCCTTTAGGGCATGACGTTTTAACGTTGCTTTAGAGGCACAAGCTGTAAATCTGAAAGGCACTTTTTTTTTAAAGGTATAAAGAAAACCTGGATGTAATAAATAAGATCATGGAAAGCTTTATGTGAAGAAAATTGAATGTTATAGTATAAAAAAGATATTTATGTATGTACAGTTTGCTAAAGCCAAGTTTTGTTTGTTGATTTCTTTGCATTTATTATAGATTCTATAAAGTATGTCATCTGTGTCTTTTCTTCCTTTAAAACACAACTTGAATTTTCATTATTCAGTAGGTAGCAACCTGAGTTATCTTTTGTTGTTATTGCTAAAACATACTTTGTGCATGGCAATATAATTTACATGTTAAATAGCAATAATTAAATGCTTTGGTATAGCTTTAAATGGGAATTTAAAAAAAAAAAGAAAAATTTGAAGTTATAGTACAAATCCTAACCTCCCCCCAGCAAATTTGAAAAAAAAAAATCAGATTTTTTTAAATGGGTCAGTATGACAAGTGTACTTGGTGGCTGGCCCTTTCTCACAGCTCTTGCTCTGGTGGCCAATGGAGTTGAAGAGCTCACCTTCAGAATTGCTGACCAGAGGAACAACAGGTATTGTATTCTCTGGGAATGCAAAACTCAAAATGGTTCCTGCAACTTCGGTACACAGAGGTGAATACACGAATCCACTATGAAAACTAGACAGAAACAATATTACCCTTTTGTCTCCTTTCTAAATTTTTGTGCTTTACTTACACTAACTTTTTTTCAAATGAATGAAGATAAAAGGTAACGACGATGCATTGAAATAAAAAGGTGGCTAGAGTAAGTGCGTATTCACACAGGAACCTGGAGGAGCCTTTGTCCTGTGTAGCAGATCAGAACTCCTGGATTTCAGCTTCCTGCCCTTTTGCACAGCTGGCAAAGCTTCTTACGATTCCTGTCAGAGGCCTCTTCTTCCATCCATCTCAAAGGCACACATGGCCCTCTCCTTAGAGCCCTTTTTCTATTGAGCCTCCTGTTGATCCTTAACTACTAGATAAAATACAAGTTTCCTTTTTATATTTATGTTTGAATACTTAAGATGCCAACATGCCATTGTCAGGCTAAGACAGGAGGACTGAGAGTTAGAAGCCTGCATGGACTTTTAAGAGACCCTACCTCAAAAAAAAAAATTTTTTTTTTCATTCTGCCCTATGACCTTGCCAACTGCAGCCTCCATGGAACGATTTGATGCAAATGAAATTGTAATTTATTGTTGAGAGATTATAGGAGGGACATATTCAAAGACACATTGACGCTTCTGTTTGAAATAGAAGATACTGGTGCCTGAGAACGTGCTTCTAAGTTGCACCGGGCGGGCATTTCTGGGAAGGGACCAATGGGCTCATGGCCTGGGGCGGCTTCTGCTGATGTGACTGTGGACGCAGTCGGGATGAGGTGCACGGCCTGAGTGACACTGGGGAGCCTGCCAGGAGACCAACAACCAGTGGTAAGCGCTAGATGGATGGAGGAACCTGATTGGTCACCCAAAGCTGTATAACACGCTCTCTCTTCCGGGAATAAACCAGTCGGCATTGGCTCATCCTGGGATCGCATTCACCCAACTCGTGATGTCTGTGTGGTGACTCCTCACCTTTCACCCCCTTGGTTTGGACCCCCTGTCCTCACCCACGGGCTGGACCCTTGGGAGGAGGACCAACATCATTGGTCACTGGTTTGCATTGGCTGCGCCCTATGAATTCAAAGGCATGGCTTCCTATTTACATTATGTCCTCTCCACTTCCTTCATCATCTGTCCCACACTAGTGCCTAAATATTCAAGTTTATAGATTCTATTTTAAATGAATTGTTTAGACGAATCTGGGATCCTTGCAAAGCCCTGAAGCTGTCTCCCGAGGTTTCGCAGTGGGATAGATTGGAGACCATCTCAGCCAAGGTGTGTTCCAGGGCTTAGTGAGATGAACAGCTTGAACGCAAGAACTCTCATCCATCTCTGGGTTTAGGCCTGGGCATCCCACATACACAGCTACCTGGGTGATGTTATGCCTGCTCCTGACGAGCACTGCCCTGCATCCTCTTTACTCCACTTTTCCATTCTCACTGTTCCTCCTCTCCTCTCTCATAAGATAGCTCACAAGCCACCTCCCGGTTGAAGAATATTCTGGTCACTTCTCAACCACACCTGAATTTGCTGCACTGAACTTTCCCCGTTCTGGCATGAGTGCTGTGACTTCCACCGTCAGTCAGTTCCCTACCTAATTTCTCCCATGATACTCTCGGGAACGATGCTACTTTTGAAAAATGAAAGGCTTTGAGAGATTGCCAGCAGTGTGCAGTCAGAGCAGAGAGAATCCCTGGGTAAGAGCTGGGAGGAGTCATTCCTCAGCCTTCCCTCTGTACTCAGGGCCCTGTTACTCCGGCATCCAGCGGAAGCTCGGCCTCCAGCTCAATTCAGTCCTTCCAGGCCCTTGAGCTGCACTGGGAAGCAGGAGTGGTAGAGAAGGCAAGTGTGAAGGGACCTCAGAAGCACCTCATCTCTGTGTGCAGCTGACTTCACATCTGACATCACTGCAGAAGCCAGTGTTAAGTGTGTCAGAAGTAAACAATAATCCATCCTGCTGGTTATCAAGGCCAGGACGTTGTACATGCTGAGCACACGCTGCCACTGGAGTACATCCCAGACACTACAGAGATAAATGCATTTCACTAACCCCATGAAACACCCAGCAGAGTATGTGGCATGAACTTCCATTAAGCATTGAAAAGCCACTCCATATTGGATGTGGAAAGAAGTAAGGAATCTGGCGGGTTGCATCCTGGGCCACAGGATCATGCTCTTCACAGATGGCGGCCCGGCTGTTTAAGTGCTGTGACAGATGAGGCCTCTTACTGGGATTCATTTTCAGAGCTTAGGGCAGGGCACAGGAGCATCATCTCAACCCATCTATTACCCTGGAAACACATAGAAAGATGTTTATTAAAGGCTTAGGGGGAGGGATTGGTATACTGAAGAATGCTGAGGGCAAAGGACAGTGATGGCTGTTGAAGCCACATTTCTATAATGTGGACCATCAGTATCCCACTTATGTCTTGGGGAGAGGAATGATGGCCTAAATATATTATGGCAGGCACGGAAGAGCATGGGCGTGTTGGTAATGAAATGTGCCTAATATGAATTGTCAGCAGTGACGGTCAAGGAGGAAATTTACAAAGAGAAGACAGGAAAAATACAGGATAGGTGATCTAGAAGCTCTAAGCCACAGCTTACTAAGAGGGATGACAAGCTTTTAGGTGGACGGTGGGAGGGGCAGGAATTGGTTTCCTGGATGGTGGAATAGCAGTAACTGCCCCTGGGTAACAAGTGAGAAGGTTCACCTTGTCAAAGCTCCAAAGAAACTTAAGCAGTCATTGCAGAGAGGCAGACTGGGGTGGGCTGATGCGCAGCGTGGACCCTAAGTAATCATGTTAAGAAATTAGGGAACAGGACAGGAGTCTACCATAGATGAAAGACTCCACCCAGCAGGGGATGGAAGCAGATGCTGAGACTCACAGTCAGATTTTGGGCAGAGCGCAGGGGGTCATATAGAGGAGTGGTGGTGGGAGGTGGGGGGGGGGGGTTAGAAGGACCTGGAGGGAATAGGAGCTCCACAAGAAGACCAACAGAGCTATCACAGCTGGGCCTGGGGAAGGGGGCTGCGGAGACTTGATGCACCAACCAAGGACCATGTGTGGAGAGGACCTAGGCCCCTGCTCAGATGTAGCTGATAGGCAGCTCACTGTCAGAGTGGGCCCCCCTAGTATGGGGAGCAGTGGCTGTTGCTGACATGGACTCTGTTGCCTGCTTCTGGATCACCCTCCCCCCCTGCCAGGTCACAGAGGAAGAGGATGTAGGCAGTCCTGATGAGACCTGAGAGGCTAGGGTTAGTTGGTAGGGGAGAGGGGCTCCTTTTTCTGAGACCTGGGGGGTGGGGGGGAAACTACATCGGGATGTAAAGTGAATCAATTAAAAATAAATTTAAATTTTAAAAATGCCAGTATAAAAATTACGTATTGAGTATTTTATCAACAAGTCATGTAGAAATACATAACAAAGAAGAGTGGAGTGTGAGGTGATTTGGGAAAGCTTGCCAGGACCCCACGCTCAACACCGTGGGGTAACTATGTGGTAACATATTTGTCTATTTTATTGGGATTTTTTTATGCCTTTACCTCCCTTTCAACCCTTATCCCTTCTATCACCCCAACACCATGTAGGAGAGACATGTTATTGGGGAGAGGGGTTATTGAGACCTTTTTTTAGACTACTTCCCGCTAATCAGGGTCATCTGGTTCCTTGGGACATGTCCAATCTTCGTACTCAGGATATTTCTCATCAAACTGCAAAAACAGCAACCAGGAGCAGCAGTGGGGAGCAGCCACCACCTTTTTCTTTTCCAGAGCTCCCAACCCATCTTTGGGCTCTGGCTTTTATACCCTCTCAAGAGTTTCCAGAATGAACCTATCTGTAGCTGGCCAAAATCATACCTCTCATAGAGCACGAGACAGTCATAGTTAACATCAGTGGACAAACTGAAGCAGCCCTGTATCCCACACTTGGGATTAAAACAAAAACATATGCACATAACTGTGTTTTTAAAAAACAGAATTTTCACTACAGCTGTGGGTGTTGCTGAGGACAGTTTGCTAATTGGGTTCTTTGCTCTGCTGCAACCTCCCCCTCACCTGTGAGCCATAGGGAACTGTGTTGTACTTCACAGCCCCATAAGGTATTGCAAGTAGGTCAGCCAAGGACTGGGACAGACCTCATGCAGCCCATGCCCTCTGTGAAGAGGAAGACTCCAGCCTCCACAGACTCAAGTCCCGGGTACTCCCTATTCACTCCCCATTCACAGCAGTCCCCACTGGGCCCTTGACATGTCAAAAAGTGTCAATCCTCCTCATCCTAAAATGCGCAATGAAAGCAAAGAGGCGGCTAGGACCACATATAGTCAGGGAAGGGAGACCGGGTCTATCAGATGTATCTTTGTGTTCTAAAAACAATTTCAGTTTCTTTGTCACTTTATTGATGGGAGCTCCTGATTTCTGGTAGAGTGGGGTGCAGTTTTGAAGATTAAGACCTTGGAAAGGGCAGGCAGGGTGGTTTACAAAGCCTGGAGACAATTTTGTGCTTAGTCATATGCAACGCTGAGGAGCCAATTCAGGACATGAGGGGAGCTGTTTAGCTGAGTGGTCAC